GACGCATCTTCTTAAAAAGTCTAAAAATAGATAGGTCTATATTCAATGGTAAATAGGAGCGTTCGTAATAGAACTTTTAATTAATCTTGCTTTTATCGTTTGATATGGAGTCCCTGTGCCTCCAAACCGCTGACTAACGAATTCGAAATATCGAATTTTATCATTTTTGCCATTTCCGTCACACTCGTCTCGTTTATCGTCTTCCTTTTTCTTGTGCAAAAGAAAATGGATTGGAATGGAACAAAAGCTGTGCTTTCTCAGGTCTATAATGATAGAAAAGATCCATGGAAAGGTAAGTTTTTGAAAGAAATACTGAAAATAGAATTTGCGTGATTTATATGTATCGTTGCAGGATGTCCATAATATGATTAAAATGCACGAGAATTTTAAAGCTATGTATCTGACCAGCTAATTTAGCTTTATCTATTATGCATGTAAATAGTATATGTTAAATAGTATATGAATTGAAAAATAAAATTCAATTGTGATGGACACGTAAATTAATTTCCTCCGTTGACAAGTTTGGGCTACCTGTGTTGACGGTGGACTACGGAAAAATCACTCCAGCCGTTTAGTGTTTTTCGTTGATAATGAAATTTAGAGCCTGTGAAAACTGTTGGTGGCGGTTAAGACGATAATTTGGATAAGCGGATGGTATTTTGGGGTTTTAAAGTGATTCAAAATGGATTTCATTTCAGTTTCTGGCGATGTCCCGTGCCTGCAATATAACTTAATGATGTCAGTAGAGGGGGGAGATATCAAAGACGGGAAAATTTAGCTTTAAATCATGACGTAAATACGCTAATCAAATGCTTAGCCTACTAGTTCTGATAAGCTTATACTCAACTCAATTTTGCAATATCAGACGTGCCACCAGACCTTTCAAACAAAGTCGCAATTGTCACTGGAGGAAATTCTGGCATTGGATTTGAAACTGTTAAAGGTCTTTGCAAAACAGGAATGACGGTAATTATTGGTAAGTTTTTTTTTCTAAGTTTTTTCTAAATATTGTTTTTCATTCATTTTTTCTTTCAGCTTGCAGGTCTGAAGAAAGGGCTAACAAAGCAATTGAATTAATAAAAGAGGAGCAACCAGATGCTAAAGGTAATATGATTTAAAATCATGAAAAAAACATAGCTGAAAAACTGGAATATTGTAAGAAATGTAAATATTTTATAAAAAGAATAAAATGGAGGAAACTAAATATTGACATTTAYATTTCAGTGAGATTTATGAACATTGATCTTACAAGTCTTGAATCCATCAAGGGATTTGTGTCTAAATTCAAAGAGAGTGAAAGCAATCTTCATATTCTGGTAAACAATGCTGGAGTGATGCTTACTCCTTTCTCTCAAACAAAAGATGGCTTTGAACTTCAGCTTGGTAYCAACCACTTGGGACACTTTGCCTTGACGATGCTTTTATTAGAAATATTAAGAAGGTAAAAGGTTACTGTGAGCCAGCGATTTTTTCATTTATTGAACACTAATAATTCCTAATCATTCATATACAGTTTTCAATGAAAACTACTTTGTACTATAAATGAAAAAAAAAATCAAGTATAATTGAATACCATTAAAGTSATATTAAACATTTAAAAATCAGTTTATTTGCTGATTGCATGGTTGAACATTATTGT